TATGAACAAAATCACACGTACGAATTGAGCAAATGATGTTACATGTAGATACAAAAAAGTATAGTCATATACTTAAAAGACTTTACCTATATATATACACGCGCATATTTTTATATTATTGATCTCGTTAGTAAAGAATCTGTAGCAAATATGGAAGGAGAAAACACTACTATATATATTGAGGTTTGACTTTTTGAGTAATCTCTGCACTCTTCTGTCAAAAAAGTTTTCTGTAAGAAAAATATGATGTTAAGTACCATCATTAATAGAAGATTGGTCCACTTGTAAACCTCACATTATAAGACTTACCTTCTATTATCAAAATAGTAGAATGCTATAAATAAGCAGTAAATCACTAAATCCTAAAGAAAGGTGTGAGGTGTGGATCAGTGATTGGGGAGAAAAGATCCTTATTTGTAGCTTCAATGGGGATCCTTGTAAGTGCCTTGCAGATAAGTTATAGTTCATTATCTTCTTAATGCTTCTTTCGGTCTTTCCATGACATATTGTATGCATGTGTTAATGCCTAAGGCTACACAAAAGTCAATATATATGTCTCATATTCTTTGTTTTTCTTATATGACTGTAGTCTATAATCTTTCTTTTTTAGAGAATGGTTTCTTTGGTGAAGAGAGAATGCGAAACGTTTCTTCTTCTTTTTTTTTTGTTTGTTTTTGTTTTCGATCCTGTTATCTTTTTTTTTTTGTGTATTTTGACCATTTCTATTCGTTTCTTCTCATTTTTCTATTTTTGTTGTTTTTCCACCGTAATATAACTTTAATTTTTTCTTTTTTAATTTGTCTCTATTATATAAATATATCTCAATTTAGCACTTTTTTTACGGTTATTCAAAATATTATTTATCAAATGTAAACTTTGTAAATATTTCTTTTACAATAAGTTAATAACCTATTAAAGTAAATTGATTTGACAGTTTTATTTATGTTTTTTTTCCTTTAAATGTGCCTTTGTAAATATTTTCTACTTCTTACATGTACCATTAATAAGTTTCGTCCTATTTTGTTGAAAATTGATAAAACGTTTCAACTTTATTCATTTTATGACTTAAATTATGTTGTTATAATTTTTTTATAAAAATTTAAATTTAATTTTTTTATTACAGTATTTTTCTCTCACATGCACAACTCAATTCATAATTTAAATTATGTAAATGAACATATCCTTTATCAATTTTTTTCCCCTCTACTTTCTTTTCTTTTCTTTTTTCCTTTTATCTTTTTTTGCTTTTATCATCTTTGGTATTTTCTTTCTATTTTCTATTCTTCTTGCTTTTTATCACTGCACATTCTTTTTTTCTTCCCTTGTACTGTTTTACGACCCCATTTCTAAACGTGTTATATTCAAAAAAATAATATCATCAAATATCTTTTTCCTTTTAAGTTATCTTTATTACATAACATTTTTTTAGATATGCCGACCTTATATCTTTATTCGAAATGTATATTGCCAAAATAATTTTACCTTTATTTTTAGAGACCTTCTCCAATATATCAACATACCGGTATGTCAAGTTTTTTATTCATTAGATCTGCATAAAATCACGTAAAAATTAAAAAATAGGTCAAATATTTTATCCGCCAAATCTGCATAAAATCACGTAAAAATAAAAAATTACACAAATCTAAAGGTTAAAAAATTTTAACATGCCGGTACATTAGGCGTACCAGAGAATCTCCCTTATTCTTATACATTAAAATTTTTTTATTACAAATATGTAATTATTTTAAATATTCTTTTATGAGACCTTCTCTGGTACACTAACATACTGGTAGGCTAGGTTTTATATCTGTCGAATCTGCATAAAATAATGTAAAAGTTAAAAATTACGTAAATTTAACAGTTAAAAAAACTTGACCTACCAATACGTCATGCGTATCAAAGAATCTCTCTTCCTTTGCATCTTTTGAAATATTGTCTTAAGTTGTTTTTTTCATTTTTTTGTTCAATTTTTCTTTGTATCTAGAAAATGTATTTGTTTTCTTGAAATAATGAAAGGATTTTTTTAATGGTTACGATTTTTTTTTAAATTAGTAAAAAAGTTAACAATAATCCAGATGGTAAAAGGTCTTTTTTTTTCGCAATAACTAGGTAAAAGGTTTTAAATGGTTAAGATTGTAAATTATTGAAATTGGATTCGTACTTGATCCCCTTATGCGCTTTAAACTTATTGAAACCGCGGTTCGTGATTGAAATTAAGCTTTCTTGTATGAAAAGATTATTTGCATTAGTATTACCGTATTTCCTTTAATTTGGAGTACAATTTTTCTTTTAAAAAAAAGAGGTTATAGCATATACATAGAAAAAATTACAGATTTTATCTACTTAAATACTTGACTTATTAAAAGTACTAATTTTTTAAAACTCCACCTCTTGATTAGTTCTAATCTAAAAGATAGATAATTAGTTCTAATCTAAAAGATAGATGATTAATTCTAATATAAAAGATAAAAATATATAGACTAATGTTAAGGGGTAGAAACAAAAAAGGTTTAATCTCAAGGGGTATTGTTAACAATCATGTCCAATTAATAATGTTAGAGAAAATACAAGAGATGACACTCTTTTTTTTCAATGCATTTATTTATGACATTAAAAATAAAGTAAAAAATTTGTCATGTTTCCCTCAAATCTATTACTTACAACTTTTTCTTTCTCTCTCTCATCTCTAGCCATCTCTCTCCATCTCCCTCTTCCTCACTATTGCGGCCAACACTCTCCAAATCGCGCACAAACATCATAAATCGGTGCCAAGAGGTTGCACTCACCTTGGAGTGACGACAGTGCACAATGGAGTCCTTGATTCTTTGTCGTTGCTCTATGAACCGTTTGGTGTCAGTGGTGAAAACCACCACCCACTGGAAAAGATAAATCCGATGATGGCTCACGTGATTTCGACGATACTCCGATGACAGTGCTCTAGTGAGATTCAGTCGGGGAAACTAATTCGATGCTCATTGTCTTATCACTCTGAGTCTGTAAAGACTGTAATCATCTTATCTAAGGTCGGACGACGAATATATCACGATCTAAAGTTTTGACTGTTTTAGAAATTCTGCTAGAAAATGCTGCCTCCTTTGGCGGAAATCGCAGCTGCAAGGCATGGTTCCATACTCAACTCATTGAGCGCTTTCTGATGAGCCGGGAGGTATCAAAAATGGACATTGGAGGCTCATCGGAGGTTGGTGGCTGTGCACGGAGAATAAAAGAGAGATAGAGAAAGGAAGAACAAGAGAGAATTCGAAGAAAAAAATTGTTGAGAAATAAATATTTTATAAGATATGAAAAATAACTTATAAGATATGAAATATAATCCACTAAGATATGAAAAAATAACTCATAGAATATGAAAGATAACCTACTAGGATTTGAAAATAACCTACTATAATATTTTTTTTGTGTGGCATAAATTTTAAAAATGATGTTAAAAATAAAAATGATCTCCAAGTTTACTAGTTTTGTTAATACCGAGATAGTTGCCCTCGTTGTGGCTTCTCTCTTGCTCGTCGAGCTATATGAACAATCACCCATTTAACTAGGGGAAAAAAACATATTATCTATGTTATCATTACTTTCTTTTTGTCAAATATAGCATTGACCGTTGTTATTGACATTTGCAGTCAATCTTGGACTCTCACTCAAACATTGAAAATTTGACACAGGTATATAATCATTATTAGATTGGAAAAATGTTTTTATTAATATTTCTAAAGGTGGTAATTTGGTAAGTCCAATTTCCCTTCGGTATCGTTTGCTTTTGGGGCCTCCCCACGTCATCTTTACTTATCTTTTAAAACTGTCATTATGAGAACCTCATTCGTGGTCAGTTAACCTTAAAATATCTTAAACCTCATTAAAATTTCATGTCACGGGCTTAGACTTTCGTGGGCCATGCCTGGCCCATCACGTGCTTGGGCTTTGACGGGCTTGAGCCGTGCCTAGGCTGCGGGCCTCAAACATGAGGCCCAACCTAGGTCCTTCTAGTATGCCGAGCCGGCCCGGCCCATAACAATACAGGGAAGTGCCGTACCGAATTGACCATTATAGGATGGCCTAGCCCAATTGACATCTCTATAGAAAACATTGTAACATATAAAGTTGAATTTGAATTTTTGTGAGAGAAAATACTATAGCAAAAACTTAAATTGTGATTCGAATTAGCCAAATGAACATGTTGAAGTTTATTACATTTAAAATGAGATTCTATATGAAAATATAACTGTATGAGTAGACTATGGCCTCTAAATTTACTAGTTTTGTTAGTTAGATCGAGATAATTGCCCTTCTTATGGTTTCTCTCCTGCTCGTTGAGTTTTTTTTTTTAACACCTCTTTGATTAGAAAAAAAACCTATTGAATATGTTGTTAGTATTTTCTTTTTGTCGAATAAAGCGCTAACCATTGTTCTTGTCGAAAAAAATCATTTTCTTTTTGTCAAATCTCTCAACCCAAAATCGAAACCGAACCACTTAGGAAGCAGTTCGGTCGGTAAATCGAACCGACTATATTCAGTTCCACATGGCGTCCTTTTTTTTGGTTTTTGAGCGGTCAATTTTTTGGTCGGTGGCAGTTGGTTTCAGTTTTACGATTTTTTTGTACAGTCCTATTCTTGACATTTGCATGCAGTCTTGCATTTTGACTCGACATTAAAATTTGACGTTGATATAAAATTAATATTAGATCGGATATGAGAGGACCTTACGCTTAAAAAAATAAAGAAATTACTGTTCAACTAAACAAAAAAATAAAGGATTAACAAAAAAACAATAAATAAATAAAGAAATTGCAAGTTAAGAATAGATTCACAAAAATAGCTTTGTGAAATCAACGAAGTACAACCGAACGTCGACGTTTTGAGACTTGATTGTCGGCCGACTAAGACCAAAGCCGGTGGAAGAGGAAGAAAACGAAAAGAAAAAGAAAAAAGTTACAATATTAAAAAAAAAAATCAACGAAACCTCATCTTTCTTGTTAGACCAAAAAAACAAAAAGGCATTAGAAAAAGAAAAAAAGAAAGAAAGAAAACAAAAGGAAAGAAACCACACCCCCCTTAGAAATCTCTCCCTCTTTCCTAGGTCCCAAACACCAAAATCCGAACCCTAATCCAAGGCTTTTTCTTTCTCTCTCTCTCTCTTTCTTTTCCTTTGTAATTTCCCCAATCGGATGTTCTAATCACACAATTTTCTTCGCGGATCTGGGTTTCGTGAGAGGTGCGTTTGTTTTACTTTCTTCTCAATTTCGCCTTTCTAGGGTTTGTTCTGTGTGTAGATTGTTCATGGAGAATTTGGGCTGATTGATCCGATTAAGGCTTCATTGTGAAATCGATGGATCTGATAATCTTCCGTTTGTTCTTCTTTCTTTCTTCCTTTGTTTTGTTCCTCGTCTTTGAATTCGGTCAACTCTCTTTCTCTCTCTATCTCTTCAATTTTTGTAGACGTTTCGCCAATATATGTTATAAATTGTGTCTTTTTTTTTTTTTTTTTTTTTTTTTTTTTTTTTTTTTGTGTGTATCGATGGATGAACGTTACGGATATATTTCTGAAAATTTTGACCTTTTTTTGGCTTTTTGGTTGATAGCTTTACCCAAAAAATATACATATAGGAGTTCTATTTTGTTTTTATTGTTTCTATCGGGTTGCTGCAAATTGATAAGTATTTTGTATTGATTTTTACTGATGTTATTGAAAGAGGAACATGGCCTGTTTGGTTTGAATTGAAAGGAGTTTTATGGGTTTCATGCATTAGGACTCTGTCGGATTGCTGCTTCTGTTTCAAAATTGATATTCGTCTGCATTCTTGTGTAGGAGATTCTGCACTTAATATGGAGTGTTGCAAAAATGTATGAAATTTGTAAAAGTTACTAGCTTTATATGCTTTTAAGGATTAATGCTTGACGGTTTTTTATTTTATTTTAGTTATATTACGATATGTGAAAGGGCTCGTAAGGGATTTATATTGTGAACAGTATAAGGAGCACCGAGCCGCACATTAATTGAAGGTGGGTTCTAAGGATTCACCCTCTATTAGTTATGGCGCGTGTGTAATAGGTGGTGCCTCCAAGCATTTTTCTTATCGCGCATGTGTGACGGGTTTATTGTGAAAATTAAGGTAGTTATTTCCTGAGTTCAGGTTTGAAGTATATATGGAGACTTATTGCAGATCACTTACTATAGGTTAATTGTGAGAATAGTAGGTTCAGGTCTGTGTAGTACTGATATCATTACTATATACGTCTTTTATAGGCATTTGAGGCTAGCTCAAGTGGTTGGGTGAGTGAGTGTGTGATCCGGGGTTCGAATTGTGGTTTCAGTTCTTCTTCTATCATGGGAGGCATAAGTCGCACACCCCATCTTTTGTGGTTGAGTGTGTGAAGTGTTGTGGATGTGCATGTAAAACGCTGCCATTGTGTGTATTTGTTGTTCAGGAGTAGTATTCCCTCCCCCCCTCCCTATCCTCATCTATAATTATATTGTGTTCGTTCTGAATATTCTGCTCATGTTCCTGTGAGCATTAATGATTTTTCTGTTTTTCCGTGGGGAATGGTCTTTTGGGGCATAAAGTCATCATCAAAAACGGATCATTTAGGAAATTTTCCTTTTGGCGCATGGTCAAATGTTAAATAAATTTTTTTAATTTAGTCTAATATCGGCAAGGATCAGAAAAAATGTTGTGTTACTGATATTGAATTTTCGCTTATTTGTTTCCATAATCGTTGATGAGTCGTGTTCCTGAATTTATGTTATCCATAAAATTGTTTATTGTCCCATATATGCAGTCTCCACTTTGTTAACTTTAAATGCTCAATCCTATTTTCCAATCTATCCTATAGTGAATATTTCATTATCGGATAGTAAATACAACTCACATTAGCATTTTAGCCTAATCTTCTCTTTGTGAGACTTTACACAGCATGATGCACTGTGTGAATCTGTTCTCTTTTTTTTACTCTCTTTTTCTTTTTTATTTATTTATTTATTTTTTTATTTTTTTAGATTTTTAAGATTGGATGTTTACTTGCGTGATCAAGCATTTGGGTAAGCAGTTACATTTGAATGATTTATATTGTAGCTTTGTTTGAATGATTTGTTTGGTGTGGCCTTAGAAGCAGGAAAGTGTAGTTACTTAAATTTCTCTGTTCTCTTTTATGTTCTTTCATCCTCCTGCAATTAGAATTAGCTGATGAGGTTATGAATTTTCTCCAGATTTAATGCAGTTGGATGTTTGCCAGGGATGTTTGATGGATGATGATAATACAGAACGATAAAATGTCTGCTCCTTCTTCAAGGGAGCGTGCTCAACAGCTGTATGACAAGGTATTTTCTTTTCAAATTGAAAAGTTAAATTTGTTGAGTTTTTGATTTCTCCTCTGGGCTATAGTTAATATTGTTTTGCAGGACCTTATCGTTTCCTTCCTATGAATATGAAAAATCTTATGGGGTGTCACACGTGTTTCTCTGTGCAGATAAATGAGTTGGAGAATCGGCGTCGAAGGTCTGCTCAGGCCCGAGTTCCATCAGATCCCAATGCATGGCAGCAGATCCGTGAAAATTACGAGGCAATAATTCTTGAGGATCATGCTTTTTCTGAGCAGCACAATATTGAATATGCTTTGTGGCAGTTGCATTACAGGAGGATTGAGGAACTAAGAGCACATTTCAACGCTGCTCGTTCTTCTGGTTCAAACCCATCGCAGAGTGTGAAGGGCCCTACACGGCCTGATCGACTTACAAAAATAAAACTGCAGTTTAAAACCTTTCTTTCAGAAGCAAGTGGGTTTTACCATGATTTAATAGTGAAAATCCGAGCAAAGTATGGGCTTCCTCTGGGTTATTTCTCTGAGAATTCAGATAACCAAAATGTCACGGAGAAGGATGGAAAAAGATCTGCTGAAGTAAAAGGTTTGATATCATGCCATCGTTGTTTGATATACTTGGGCGACCTTGCACGCTACAAAGGATTGTATGGGGAGGGTGACTCCAAGACTCGTGAGTTTGCTGCAGCTAGCTTCAAGTACTTGCAAGCTGCATCACTTTGGCCATCAAGTGGGAATCCTCATCATCAGGTTTTTTATTTTATTTTTTATGTACTTTTTTCCCCCTTCAAATGTAGTGTGATTCTAATCTGTTGTGCCTTTGTGACTGATCCTCTTCTTACTCCAGCTTGCTATATTGGCTTCTTATTCGGGCGATGAGTTGGTAGCTGTTTATCGATATTTTCGTAGTTTGGCAGTGGATAGTCCTTTCCTTACTGCGAGAGACAACTTGGTTGTTGCATTTGAAAAGGTGTTGCCTCTTTGCTTCATTCAATAGCGTCCTGTCAAGTCCAAATTTTTGGTATTCTGTAGAAATTATCTGTTATTTAATCTGAAAAATGTTTCATCAAATGTTCAAAATCTTGTTTAGTTGTACTATTGTTATTGTGAATACGTTGTTTTACTATTATTATAAGAAGTTCTGTGAACATCTTGCATGCTAGTTTAGTGCTCAAATTGCTTTCAAGACTTGAAGTGTATGATACGAACGTTGAGTTCATTTCTCTTTTAGATATTATTTGGCCTTTTGTGTAACAAGTCTCTTTTTATTTGAGTTCAGCTGTTTCATTTGTTCCTGATCAATAATTTGTTTCACATGACCCATGCCTAGTCTTATTCAAACTTACCAACAATTTGCCGAATTGGTATACCTTTTGTTCTTTTGCAGCCAATTCCTAGCAATTCATTCTTCTTTCAATGCGATTTTTGGACTGTGAATACTTCTACATTGAACACAAAATGATGTATATCTTGTAAAGCAGGATCGTTGAGTTGAGTAATTAGTTGATCAAATTTTCTGACTACGTATACTTTAGTTACCTATGCTGGGTATTTTCCGTTGAAAGTGCTGCACTAAAGTGTGATTATTTCAATTGCAAGTTAATTTTTAAGATGGCCTTAAAATTATCCCTGATCGTGTTCATCATAATGTAGTAGGGTTATATACTGTAGTGAGTTTTTTTAGTCACTGAGTCTTTTTTTATCAGAAAAATTTGCATATTGTGTTGTATAATGTCTCGGATGCTGTGGATTTGTATGTAACTCTTTAATTCATTTTGCAGAATCGTGTTACCTACTCTCAAATATCTGGGGAAGTCCCTGGGTTCAAGGAGTCGCCTGGGAAATCAACTGGAAAAACAAGAGGGAAAGGTGAAGGGAAATCTGTATCCAAAGATGCTATTACTGAAGCCAGCCTTGTCAAGGAAGGAGTGTCTGGCATTCAGGAAAGATATAAAGCATTTTGCCTTTCATTTGTTCGTCTAAATGGCATTCTTTTCACGCGCACAAGGTAATTTGTTTTAAACCCTGTTCAATTGTTTGTCATTGTTCAAAACTTTGACATGTTAGTCAATATTAATACAATGCTTCTTTCTTTGTCCAGCTTGGAAATATTTGAGGAAGTTCTATCTTTGGTAAGCAGTGGCTTGCATAAGTTGCTATCTTCTGGGGCAGAAGAGGAGCCAACTTTTGGTGCAGATGCCGATGAGAGTGGACTTGTTATTGTTAGGATTGTTTCGATTCTTATATTCTCAGCTCACATCCATAGGGAATCTGAAGGACAGACATATGCAGATATCCTCCAACGAAACGTTGTTCTTAAGAATGCATACACTGCAGTTTTTGAGTTGATGGGCCACATATTAGAAAGATGTGTGCAGCTGCATGATCCTTCTTCAAGTTTCCTCTTACCTGGCATTTTAATTTTTGCTGAATGGTTGGCATGTTGTCCGGATGTTGCGGCTGGCAGTGATGTGGATGAGAAACAGGCTGCCATTAGATCAAGGTTTTGGAACTTCTTTATATCTTTCTTGAACAAGCTCTTGTCGGTTGGGTCAACGTTCATAGGTGATGAAGATGAGACTTGCTTTAATAACATGAGTAGGTATGAAGAGGGGAATACTGAAAACCGGCTGGCATTGTGGGAGGACTTTGAACTGAGAGGGTTTGTGCCACTTGTTCCAGCACAAACCTTTTTAGATTTTTCAAGGAAACACTCATTTGGAAGTGATGGTCAAAAGGAGAAAAAGGCCCGTATTGAAAGGGCTCTAGCAGCAGGCAAGGCTCTAGCCAATGTTGTCAGGGTTGATCAAAAGGCAATATGTTTTGATTCAAGGGTAAAGAAATTTGTTATCGGTGTTGATTGTCAAATATTGGATGACATGGTAGCTCTAGATTCAGGCATTTCCAATAAAGATGATATGATGCAAGAAAATCAAGCTACTGAGCAAACAACTTTTGGAATTGTGCAGTCAAAGCAGCAGCTGCTTATAGAAGGTGACGAGGACGATGAAGTAATTGTCTTTAAGCCTGTTGTGGCTGAGAAGCGGTCCGACATTCTTGGATCAAATTGGGCAACCTATGAGGGCCTGAAGCCTACTCAGAAAGCTTCTGCAGGTGATTCAACATATAGCAGTAGTTCCATTTCTGCCCCTCTTGACAGTATTCACCACCAAACTGCTTTTGATGGTCGTCCCCTACAACCTGTAACTGTTAGCAATGTTCTCCCCCACTTTTTGCAACCAGTTCAACCTCCTGCTTCAAAGTGGTCAACAGAAGAAGCCTTTCTTGCTGACACCTTGAAAGATTTGAGGTTCATGAGGAATGGGCATGCAGTAAAATCTGATGTGCAAGATAATTCTGTTTCACTCTCAGTTCCTATTCAGCAGTCTGTCAATGTCACTTCTAGTGGCATGTTTCACAACCACACAATAGTTCCAGATGTTATTGCATCATCTGGAGCAATCCCTAACAGCTTGCCTGTCAAGACATCATCAGCCTTGTCTGCAGGTTTGCGAAAAAATCCCGTGAGTCGACCCAGCCGGCACCTAGGTCCTCCCCCTGGTTTTGGGCATGTTCCTACTAAACAATTAAATGAATCCATTACTGGTCCGGATATTGCAAGGGACAGTCCTATAATGGATGATTATAGCTGGTTGGATGGATATCAGGTACCATCTGCATCATGGACAAAGAGTTCTGGGCTCAATAGCATCATCAATTATCCAACGCATCCAAACCCCAATCCTGTCCCTAACAGCAATTCATTGTCTGGAACAGTCAACTTTCCTTTCCCTGGGAAACAGGTTCCAATGGTGCAATTCCAGTCAGAAAAGCAAAAAGGTTGGCAAGACTACACAATGCTTGACAGCCTTAAGTTACAGCATGAACAGCAGCTGCAGCTGCAGCAACAGCAACAAGCCATAAATGGTAATCAGCACTTCAACCCACTGCCTGAGCAGCATCAGGGACAGTCTCGCTGGACAGGTCGTTATCTGGTGTGATTTCCATACAATGGTATAGATGGTAAGGTTGTATCCGGTTTTCTACTTATCATGTTAACTTTTTAGTTGATATCATAAGTTGTATTGTTAAGTTTGCCTGACCAATCCCATTGTCATTGTTAGAGTCCTGAGAATTGTGCTGGAATTTACTGCATCCTTTTGCTACCAAGTTCAAACTCCAACTTTGAAGCGTTATCAATGTTGAATTTTGATGGAGTGTCGGTGGCTTGGCTTCTTGCAGGAACTTGCTAGTACACGGGTAATTATGTGCTCTATTTTCTTCTCATCATTTATCTAATGCTCTGTGATCTCCTTTTTACTGTGCTTGTTTCCTGTCATTCGTAATCGGTGGAATTAAATGCGTCTATTTTTTTAAGGTAATTATGTGCTCTATTTTCTTCTCATCATTTATCTAATGCTCTGTGATCTCCTTTTTACTGTGTTTGTTTCCTGTCATTCGTAATCGGTGGAATTAAATGCGTCTATTTTTTTAGTTCGATATTGTTTTCTCTATAGTAGTTCTATTAATGTATTTGTATTGGGGTTTTTATAGCAATTTTTTTATGCTAAATTGCTAATACTTCTGCCACATCTTATTTTCATGTTGTACAGATTTTGCTGAGCTTTCCTGCTCGGAGGATGGGAAATGCCGAAATCTGATTCATGATGCAGAGGTTCTAAGATGTATTATGCCTTGTCTGGTTACTTGGGGTTGGATAGAACATGTTTAATAATATGATCATCCGTTGGTTTTGGGGCTGTTGTCTCCAGCAATTTGGTGGAATTAAAATGGTGTTACTCAGTGTTCTACTAAACTCTTGAATCAGTGTTAACTGTCGAAATCGCTATTGCTGTCGTCAGGTGGCAGCAGCTGGTAATAAGTAAGGCTACTCAGGGTTTTGTGGCAGAAAGCTTTGGGAAGCTGAGTTTGGCAGGTAAGTGGGAATGGTACTTGGTATTTAGAAATGGGTAATAATAGTAGCAGCACAGATTTGGTAATGACACTGAAAAAGGTACATTTGGTGAGGATTTGTGTGGTGTATGGTCGTTGTCTACCAGTCCCAGTTTAGACTTGTTGTCGTTGTTGGCTTAAGTTTAATCACCTAGTCGGATTATGATTATCTAAGACACCTTTCGTCGAGTTGAGGTCCACTCGAACTTGCCGTTATGAAATAATGTTTGAATCTTGCACTAAATTTAATTTCTGTTTTAAGTTGTTTACTTTTGGTCTTGTTGCCTTGATATATGCTTTACCATTCTGGCCGTTTTGTGCCTGGATCACTCGTCGTAGTTGCTTTCTTGTGTTTAAATAACCACGGCATATTGCAATGACAGTGATGTGAATTCTAGGGTCTCCCATTTGAGTTTTGTTACAGTAAAAAGTTTTCAAAAATAGTCACGTCTAACTTTTTTACTATAGTAAAAAATTCTCATATAAAATCACATCTTAACTTGAATTAAAAATTTGAATTAGCAAACTAAACGGGTTCTTAAGTCTTTCTTGTTTATCTTAAATATTTTTATATTCAGTTGGATTTACCGTTTACAAAATAGGACGCACATAATAAGTGTAAACTAGGACGCACATAATAAGAGAGAAGGGAAGTAACAATTTCCAGCCTTCGGGGAAACAAATGATCGAGAACAAGATTGTTCTTTAACGTAGTCCCCACAAGTATGAACGTGTAGAATTTGGAGCATATGAACACAAAAGCTATTTTGTTTGTTTTGTCTTTCGTTTTTGGTTAAAAGAATGAGAATATTATAGTTGTGACAGTTGCATCCTTGGATGTCCACTTCATCATGCCTTGCAGGGAGAAATAAAGATAACGTTTACATCAAATCATAATCATATTAAGAAAAAAACAGTACAGATACAGCGGAATTTGATGCAAATCTTATGCCATAAAACTTGCATGTTCTCAGTTCAAATATAGATGCTGAGTAGTCAGATAGGTTCAAAAGTAACTTAACAATTGGTTTCTTCTTTCTTTCCTCTTATTTATTTATTTAAGTATAACTTAACAATTGGTTTTTAGCTTTTGAGATATCCATTTTCCAGTTTTTTCTTCTTTTTTTTTTATTTTTATTTTTTTTAGTATAACTTAACAATTGGTTTTTAGCTTTTGAGATATCCATTTTCCAGTTTTTTCTTCTTTTTATTTATATTTTTATTTTTTTTAGTATAACTTAACAATTGGTTTTTAGCTTTTGAGATATCCATTTTCCAGTTTTTTCTTCTTTTTTTTTTATTTTTATTTTTTTTAGTATAACTTAACAATTGGTTTTTAGCTTTTGAGATATCCATTTTCCAGTTTTTTCTTCTTCTTCTTTTTTTTTTTTTTTTTTAGTATAACTTAACAATTGGTTTTTAGCTTTTGAGATATCCATTTTCCCGCAGAGATACACAACATACAGTGGCATTTTCGTTTTTTGAATTTAGAGGCGAGGGGCTTTTGAGTCTACTTTTTATGATAGTCACTTGTGGCATTACGTTTGCCACCACAATGTAGTGCCATATCAAGAATATATGTATGTATATATGTATATTGGGTTAGCAGACGTCCGCTACAAATGATAAGATGCTTATTAAAAAAATAGATGTACATTTGACTCGAAATTATATTATATGGTGTATATATAATCCAGTTACTATGAATTTGCCGAACATCAACCTTCTAGTAATTTCTAATTTGCAACATTTATTATCCAGAAGAGAGAAACAATTGTACCGTTTCAGGGGAAAAAAAAAAAAAAAGCATTAATTCTTTTTCTTAATGGAGGAGAGAAAAAATAAAAGGCCAATATACGTGGTGTAAAATTGCAATTACCCTTTTAGGTATAAGTTTGCGAGAAGGGGACAATCTCCAACTTAGCTAAGGAAAACAATAAAAACAATACATATTTTCAATTACATTATTCATGGTTTTGTAGCTACCATATGGAATATTCCCATGATCAATTTTAGAAAATAGAATGGGAACAAAGAAGTTGAGAATTGAAAGCAATAGTTCTAATCTTATATGGCGCATAATGTATTACCGACGTATGTGTGTTTCCTTCCAAGTCTAACTTTGCTTAGGGATTTGAAACTCATCACTGCAGAAAGTACTGGCCAAAATCTTCCTTCAACTAAAAGAAATGATACGAGACTTTTTAGTTAGCACTTTCTACGGCTAAAAGGAAAAGAAAATGTTAACGCAAGATTTTGAGCCACAACACAGAGTGTCTTACCTGCCATATATTGTTCATGTAAGTCATGCGCTAAGGAACATGAATTCAAGATTATTATATGAATTTAGTCAATCTAGCTTTCTATTGAATTTGGTGATCCATCTCTTCAAAAAAGAAAAAAAAAAAAGAAACAAAAAAAAGAAGAAAGAAGTATTGCACAAACGAATGAAACTAGGTGAATTGAATCCTCTTTATCCAAATTCTATAAGCAAAATAAAAAGGCAATTAATTAAGATATTATGAAGTAATTTAATTAAAAAGTCAATGAGACGCAAAGTATGATTTTCCATCAATTACAATGGTCGGTTTCATAATCTTCATACTCAATGGTCAATACCAACACTAGTTATCTGAAGCGCCATTTACATTATTATGCCGATTATCTCAATCACTTGCAAAATTAACAAACACGGGGAGAACTCGCCGAATTAAATGGTCTGCAGAAGAATTTTACTTTTTCGAAATTTTGCAAACGACGAGATGTAATTTTTGCCGTAAATGAAAAATATAGGTGAAGGTCAAATTAAAGGAAAAAACTGAAGAATACTTTCAAAAGTTGTCCAAAAAAATTGCCAGCAGCAAAGTATCTCGTGGGTTTAATGGGAAGCCCTCTTTGGACAAAAATGTACTTCAATACTTTACCAAACATGCCCATGTAGAGAAAGAAAGAAACAAAGAAAAATAAGGATTCACAATCATATTTCCCCAATATTCTTCTCCTCATTGCCATTTGAGTGTCTGAAAACGACATCGTCTAACAAGTGTCCCTACCATTAATATATCCTCAGGAAGATGCTCACGGGCTTCAACTTGGAAAGCGTAACACCCCACCACCATTGACATTGTTCCATATAAATGCCAACCCAAGCTTCACAAACTTCTCAATTCATCTCTCTCTCTCTCTCCTCTTCTCTCTCTCTCTCTCATGAAACCAATGGATCAGACAACCACCATTCTCACACTCATCATAATCTCGTTTTCCTGCATTAGTAGTACCACTAGTAGCCCCATCAAAACCGTCGTCGTTTTGGTGATGGAGAACCGCTCCTTCGACCACATGCTCGGCTGGATGAAGCGGCTCAACCCGGAAATAGACGGTGTCGACGGTTCGGAGTCGAACCCGATATCGACGACCGACCCGAACTCGCGGCGGGTCTTCTTCCGGAATCAGTCCCACTACGTCGACCCCGACCCCGGCCACTCCTTCCAGGCCATCAGGGAGCAGATATTCGGCCGCCCCGGAGACGACGCCGTTTCGACCGACGCGGCGCCTCCGATGAACGGCTTCGCGCAGCAGGCCTTCGCCATGGACAACTCCTCCGCCATGTCGGAAGCCGTCATGAACGGCTTCGACCCTGACAAGGTTCCCGTCTACAAAGCTCTTGTGGCTCAATTTGCTGTCTTTGATAGGTACGTAAATCATAACTTTAATTATTATTTAATTATATATGTTGTGCTTTTGTCTTGTAAATTTCAATAACAGTTAGAAGATACATTAACAACTATCTTAACGGGCCATATATAAATTTGTTAAGTAAAATTGAGTAAACATGATTACAAAGGGGGAAAAAAATAATTAATGGGTTTCATATATAATATGAAGAGATGCATATAAAGAAGGATTAATTGAACGTGATGAAATATTAACTAGAATGTGATCATAGTCTAGTTCAAGGGTAAATCCATACTGTTATTACCACCAAAATGTAGAGTTTAAATTTTCTATCTCAAATTTTTTTTTTTTTTTTAAAAAGAAGAAGAAATATGATGATTTAGAGACATTAATTTAGTGATAATATAAGTCTGTGGTCTGCACCAAATATGTTGAGTACTTTAAGGTGCTCTTACGAATTAGAATGGAAAAATTCAAGTTTTGTTTATTTATTTTCTCCACTTGTTGTTTTTAGTTGATTTTTTTTTTTCCTTTCTTGGAGGTTATCGGTCGAATAGAAATGGAATTTAATTAGGGTGGTTTTGACGAGTGTGGAAAGAAAAAGACCGTGTTACTTTCCAACTTTTCACGGTTGGGAAACTAACAGTTGATAATTAATGTCTCTTTCTTTGTGACCCCTTGAACAATAAAGCCAAACCTTGTGAAAATGACGTGTACACATTCATATATGCTGTTTTTAAGCCCTTCAAATATAGGTATGGTCGTGGATTCACCTAGATTTGATGTAACCATATATAGAGTTTTTACTATATGACACCTAATTAAACCTTCTTTTTTAATCAATTCTCATTTTTCTGTGGTACTAATTATATATCTAGATTTGCCTTAAAAAAATATACACTGATCCACTTAATTAATTTCCAACGATCACAAGACAAAAAAAAAAAAAAAAAAAAAAAAAAAAAAAAAAAAAAAAAAAACATTAAAATGACAAAGGGCAAAGAAGATACTTCACTAGTTTAGTCAGTTTGAGATCTAGCTAAACCTAAACCCTATTTTTTCACTAATATTTAATAATTAGTCCTCCGCCACTCATGTACTCAGGTGGTTCGCGTCGGTGCCGTCGTCGACGCAGCCGAACCGCCTCTTCGTGCACTCGGGAAGCTCCGGCGGCGCTACGAGCAACATCCCGGCGCTCCTGGCGAAGGGCTACCCGCAGCGGACCATCTTCGAGAACCTCGACGACGCCGGAATACCTTTCGGAATTTACTACCAGAACATCCCGGCCACACTGTTCTACAGAAACCTAAGGAAGCTCAAGTACTGGGGCAAATTCCACTCGTACGACCTGTCGTTCAAGAGCCATGCACGGCGAGGGAAGCTCCCGGGCTACGCTGTGGTGGAGCAGCGGTACATGGACACCAAGAGTGCGCCCGCAAATGATGATCACCCGTCGCATGATGTGTACCAAGGGCAGATGTTCGTGAAGGAGGTGTACGAGACTCTGAGGGCAAGCCCGCAGTGGAACCAGACCCTGCTTATCATCACTTACGACGAGCATGGCGGGTTCTACGACCACGTTCCAACGCCGGTGCGCGGCGTCCCAAGCCCCGACGGCATCGTGGGGCCGGAGCCGTTCTTGTTTCGGTTCAATCGGTTGGGAGTTAGGGTTCCTACTATTATGGCCTCGCCATGGATAGAGAAGGGTACTGGTGAGTGAGTTCTTCAGCCCTAAATTCCAAATAATTATCTCCTTTTTTCATTTTGATTTGATGTTTTATTTTTTTTAATGTCAAATAGGATACTTATATTTTCGGACGTGTTTAAAACGTTATTATTATATGTATTATAGATAGATGATATGAGAAGTACAATTTTGTGGTAGGAAGTAGATAAATTATATATCAAATTAAATTTTATGCAAATCTAAAGATTAGAAACAATCAACACTTTTGAGTACCAATAAAAAAATTCTGTCAGATACGCGGTAGTATAAGTAATTTTTGCTATAGCATAATAAACAAACTTTTTTTTTTTATTTTGTAAGATAAAATCCCTTGTTTCTATCCTATTCATAGTGGTTTACATCACCCGTCACTTTCCTGCGGAACCATTTGCATTCCCACATAATCTTATTGGATGCCTTGAAATGATATAAACTTGCTTGAAGTTATAAGCAAAGGCAAGACATAGTATTATTTAGTATATGATATTTATACATATAAGCCACAGCCGACTGCTAGCATTCATTATCATATAATAGCAAAAAATAGTGAGATAAACCTTATTTACTAGGCATTCTATTTCATCTTCATATGCACTCAAATCACAAGTCACAAACCGAAGGTTAAAAAGTAAATATCTTGGGCAAATCACATTGGTGGTTTCGCTTTCAGTTAGGCTTAAGTCATATGGCTGCTTCTTATTTCACACTGCTTTTTTGAAATAATTAGATTCCAATACTATTGTTGAGGGCCATCTATTTTTGTCGTCTTTCTTTCTATTGCCAATGCCAAATTGTTGGCACTTTTAGTTGATTGTCAAGCTTACCAACAACATATAAATGGAGGGCATGAAAAGCAAGCCAATCTTTATCACTTTCTTAACCAACGCTTTATTTGATGATGACTAGTGGAGTGAATGAGATGGTTTCTATTGGGTAGGTTAGCATATTGTTGGTTGCGCTTCGCTTTTTTTTCACTTTAAAAGACTGGATTTAGAGGACTTTTAAACAAGTTTGTTGAGATCCTTCGTTAATTATATTCCGAGTGCATAGGGACCGCCAAGGCATAAAAAAACTTAGGTATGAAGATTGAAAGATGACAAAAAAAAGAAGCACCAACGCATGTGTAAATGTCAAAAAGTTGTACCAAAAAGTAAGAAGTTCAAATCAAACTTGAAAGTAAGTGGACTTATAATTTTTGTATTCTTTATGTATCTTGTGAAGTTCAGATGAAATATCTGGATCTATCTTATGGACTTTTTTTTTTTTGGTATTATGTCAAATCATAAATTGATTGGTTTTGCAATGATTTGTTAAAATAATAATAATAAACAATTATATTTACTTGGCAAATATTAGATTTACCAATTCTTTTAGTTAGTAGATATAAGATTCGGGATAAAGTTACTTCTTTTTTGTTTCTCCTATAACAATGGTCATTTCCCAAAATCACCATGCAGTTGTTCATGGACCCAGTGGATCACCATTTCCGACATCAGAATTCGAACACTCTTCCATTCCGGCGACGGTGAAGAAACTCTTCAACCTCTCCTCTCCTTTCCTAACGAAGAGGGATCAATGGGCGGGAACATTTGAAGGAATTTTCCAAAAGAGAACGGAACCCAGAACCGATTGCCCAGGTTTGTTACATTTTAATAAAAGCTCAAGCAATAAACAATAGAAATATGCCATGCAGCCAAAGATGATAAAGTATAACTTGAGCTGGGGCCATACGTTCACGTGTTACTTTATTACAAAATTGTACGCTCATCTTTTCATAATTTGTCAAAAAATGATGTAACCAGTCAATTCTGAGATATGATTAAGCACATTGTGCTTAATAGCATTGCTCGACCAATTAGAGAAGATTACTTGTATAAATAACTACCTAAGGAGGCCTAAAATCCAAAAAAAATCAGCCAATTTTTAAAATTCTCTCTTAAAATCAGCCATTTTCCCAAATTTTCTTGTGATCAAATGCCTATTTTGTAGTGTTTAGAAATAAATAACTAAAGAGTATCAATGGTGTCCCGTACCATTACTCATAATGAGAGTCCCACATTTGGACAGCATATTTATGAGAAGTACCGGGCGTCACTAATATCCATTATTATTAAATAGCTTATTTTGTTCTAATAGCTGAGATTTTGAGCAGAGAAACTACCAACACCAGTGAAGATCAGGAAAGGAGAGGCCAAGGAAGAGGCCAAACTGTCAGAGTTTCAGCAGGAGCTGATGCAGCTTGCGGCAGTTCTGAAAGGGGACAACATACTGACAAGTTACCCAGAAAAGACTGGGAAAGAAACGACTGTCAAGGAAGGAAAACAATATATGGAAGATGCAGTGAAACGTTTCTTTGAGGCAGGACTTTATGCTAAGAGAATGGGAGTTGATGAAGAACAGATTGTCCAGATGAGGCCTTCCCTCACCACAAGATCACCTTCTAAGACCCCAAATGAACACCCATAAGAAGAGATATAAATATGATAGAGATAAGAGAATAAAATGGTAAATAAATAGCTATATATGAAATGTACACTCTTTTAAGTATTATACAAACGAAGCAAAGAGTTGGGCAAGTCTAGAATAAGCATTTCTGAGATGTTCAACTTACTGTAACATGTTATTCCCTCCTTAGCTACTCAAGATGATGATCATAGAGATTTGAAAATTTTAGTAGCTTGGTGGGATCAAACTTCTTTCTTTTTTTTTCCAATTGTTTATTTTTTGGACAAGGTTGGTTGAAGCTTAATAAAAGGTTGGGGATCATATAGTTATGCTTGGGATTTATCTTTTTTTTTTTTTTTTTTTTTTTAACATCCATCTAAGGTTGTTTGAAGAGCTAATTCTTTGTTTCTCAAGCTTCTACTCCAATTGATGAAATAAGCAAAAATTTTAATTCCTTGTCTGCAGAATTTTCAATACAGCTTACCTGCTGAAAACTCATATTGAGGCTTATAACTTACTATAAGCAAAATTTACTTATAAAACTTCCTATAAGCTCCCTTCAGTGAATGTTTACCAAAAAAGAACAAAAAAGTGAGAAAAAAGAATCTAGTGTACAAAAGAATTTTGTGACCTCCATGGTTTGTGTTTCAAATGGTCAATAACAAAACCTTCTTGTCTGACTTCTTCCAAGACATTTACACTCCATCTGTACCATTCTTCTGTTTCGTGCAGTTTCTATTGACCTGTCCTTACTTGGGAGCTCTTTGATATGAGTAAATAGTATAAGATATGGGCAAATAACTTTTCACTTCTCTCATTAACTTAGGGCGTCCCACCCGGGAATATTTGCGGTTGCCTCATTTACCATTTTCACAAGCCTCGCCTGCAAGGAACAATATCATTGGACAATCTATATATCACAAATTCATAAAATAAAACATCATGTTATAATTGACCCTTAAATGTGGAGTTTATAAGAACAAGATTTCGACCGGACATCCATTAAAAGACACCATCTTTATCAAATCATAGCTTCAATGTCGATGCAGTGTCCCACAGATGAGTGTAAGCGTACATTGTATTAGCAAATCCATGTATTATCAACACAAAGATATATGTGGGGCAATTTATGATGGATGAAGTAATAACAATATAAAGCAGATCATATGGTAGATCTGATGCATACGATACTCATTTTAAGGAAATAAGCAGCAGTACCCTGATATACGAGTAATTTAAAACAAATGATGTTTGATGAGATTATTGATAGTACAGTCATACGTCTATGTTGTTATGTGTGGCGTTTGATGGGCGGTGACGGGAACGTTTGGCGAGCTGCCATCATGTCATGGTTGATTTATTAGTAGACACGACCAAGCAATTCAAGTGGTAGTTATCTTTTAGGCATTTGGTGGCAGAATGTAGAAAGGATTTTTGTAGGGATGAAAATTCATAGAAGAACATGTAGAGAAGAGAAGTTCTACCTATTAATTTCTTTTGTTATTTTTTGTTCTTACTGTATTTTTTTTATGACTTTGGGAGAATTTTTGTACATGATCCTAATCCCCTTACATTGCTTATTTATTTGTTTATTATTTATGATTTTGACCAGATTTTAGGCTTCTAAAGCCAACAACAAGTTTTTTTGGCAATGACGAAATCAAAAAGGTTCAGAAATAGGCAATATTTTCGGAGCTTGCAGGGAAGAAGGAAAAAAAAAAAACTTGTGTGTGTGTGTGTGTGTGTGTGTGTGTTTCCATCATATCAAGAGAGATACTATGTGATTCTATTCTATAAGAAACCAACAGAAATCTAGAAACATACTTGAAGATGCCTGTTCTCTCTCGTTTGGTTCGAAAACCCACAACCATTTGTTACGTACCAGATGGTTACAGAGTATCGTATATAATACCAGTGCCACAACCATCTGTACATATATAATATCAAAAAAGCTACAGACTATATAAGTATTGAAGTTTGAACAAACTACACGAGTTACAGTCTACAGTATGGAGGGGGGAAGAAACGTTGCCAAATTATGGCATATTTTTTCCTGAAAGAATTGTTATGTTTGGTGCATCCAGCAGAATGAGTCTAAAAGAGCAACTAATTGAACAGTGTGGATTATAAAGCAGCCATGATCAACTTAAATGAACATAAATTTGTATCGTGCACCTGAAAAACATGTCAAAACTACGAAGCATATAACTTTTGGAACCAATTCCAATTTCGTAAATTAGCCATAAACCTCTAACAGTTAATTTCTCGAATAGACTCTGACAAGATGGAGATTAATAGACTTACCACACTTTCAGGAACTCCTGGAGGGGGCAATGAAAGGTTTTTTGGTGGAGGGCCACTAAGATAAGATCTTTTGTCAAAGCGCCATTCTCCAATTTTTCCATAAGTCAGTTCACCCTACGTGATTACACAGATGAAATGAATACCTTAAGAAAATATAGGGTAACTGATGATGCAACTAAGTACTTTTTTTATCATAAAGGAAAGAAAAACAATTTTTGGAAGCATAGATTTTTTTATTTTTTTTTATTTTTATTTTTAATTCCAGGATCTATGTACCATAGTTACAGATAAACACTAGCAAAAGAATAGGTGCTATGATAAGATTAAGCAATCAGCTATGTTTTTGTGTGTGCATGCTGACTCTTCCCTACGTGTGCATGATTGAGAGATACCTTTATATTGTAGTCACATCCGTATGTATAGTGGATGATAAACTTGTTACCAACTTCCAAATCCCATGGAGGCTGAGTGGTAAAAGTGATATGCGTTACGTGAGTTGAAACAATATCAAACGAAAAGAAAAAGAAAAAGAAAAGTAAAAAAGATCATCAAACCTGAAGCATGAAATCTTTCCGGAGAATATGGCGGACGCCATGCAATGCAGATGCTACAGCATATGCATACCTTTGTTCAAGATAGAAATAATATAAATATCAATACTATATCAGATATCTCAGGGTATGTTGACAGGCCACAAAGAGAAACTAAAAATATCTCAGATCTTTTGAGAAAAAAAAATGTCAGATCTTCTAAGGTGCTACTTACATTTCAAGCACCCATCCGAAAGCCTTATCAGTCTCTGGGTCGTCTTTCATTCTCAAGGAAATGTTCACCCACGTGGGAGCAATGTCCTCTAGTAGGGACTGAATAAGAAAATTTGGTTAAGACGACATTTTAAGACAATATTGGTACAGCTAAAAGAGAAAAGGTCAGTTGTAATTAAGATGATCAAGGGAGAAACTATCTGATGTAGGCCACTAGATATTTTCTTCTACAGTTACCCTCCTATACAAAGCATTATCACTTCAGTAAGATGCTAGATTATTTCACAAACTGGGTAGAAAAATGAAGCGTTTTACCTTCTTAATGATTACAGGAGAATTGCCAATGGGATCAACATTGTTCACCGGACCTTTTTCCTCAGGATAAAATTTCCTAATTATCTTTTCATTTTGATCGGGTTTTATATAGAAAAATGGAAACGCTGCTGGATGATTTCCTTTCGCCAAATTGGGCAAAGGATTTGCAAATACATGATCAGGTTCTGCCATTAGAATGTACCTGCAGCAACCAAAGAAAGAAGAAGAAGAAAAAGAAAAGAAAAAAAAACATATATCAGATTTCATCAAGGTAGAAAGGATAAAACTTTTAGATAACATGAGTTATAGAAAACCAACTCTTCCTTTATCGTTGCTTTCTCCAACCATTGCACAAAAGCCCATGGCCTATTCAGGACAATATAACCCTGTTCACAAACATAAATAAGAATAGGAATTATCAAACTTGTTTGTCAGAAACTTGGTAAACCATGGTACTGAAAAATAAAAATAGCAAACAAGAGTAGCAATAAGAATCAGTGTTAGAATAAACATATTGCAGCTAAACCAATCAATTCCATAGAAAAGGCAGACAGAATTAAACATCTCTAACTCGACTAAAAATTGGGTTCAGTAATCTCAAGAAGATATCAGCCCATATATACGGTATTGTGGTATTCAATGTAGCTCATTTCTATGTAGCTCATTTCTCTGTCATATGCATAGTTAATGTTATTCCCTGACCTTCATTACAGTGCGTTGGTTTACTATTGTAAACTTCTTCAGCAATAAAAGCAAAGGGCATAGAAATAAGACAAAGAAATATACAAACCAGAATCATTTTAGAGACAAATATCCTATAAACTATACTTATCCTGCAATCGAGATGAGATAACTATGACAACAGTGGTGGAGAAAATTCTCACCCTATCCAAGCCCTGCGGCAGTGGATCAACAACAAAGGTCGGAATCTCCTCCATCAAATTGTCAGGACTTCCTGAATGCAAAACCCGTGTAAATTTCCCCATGTCTGATCCAGGCATATCTTTCATCTTCTTATACCAGTAATACATGATTCGACATTGCCACTGGCTATAAGGAGCATCAGTTGCCGTAAGGGCGACATGAAACTTTGAATTGGAACTCTCCGCTCTCCTAGTTTCTTCAGGCATTCGAGTCAAGGGATCGGACAACTCCGACCTATCAGCAGCCAAACTCCCTGAGTTCGAAGATTTGATGTGTATTATGATGGTCAATAGATTATACGTTGCAAAGAAAAACCCGAGCGCCAAAAGAACCAGCAACATTGGCGACGGACGCCCATTGTTTTTTCTCCCAATCATCTTGATGTCTCAACAAAGGATTATCAAACCACAAATTCTCAACAAATCAATTTAACCCAGTTTTGGCGTCCACAAAACCTCTTCAACAATAACAATCCATTAAACTTTTCCATAACAAGCTTCCAGCACCAAAATCTAAACAGAAAAAGACTACTATTTTTCTTCTGAGCCAATCACAAGCACATCAAATTCGATAACTATTCTGCATTACAATTTAAAGGAAATAAACAAGTCAATTCATTTTTCATCAATGTATACATAAGTGTAGAATTCTAAAAACCCAATATAATTACATATCATTGCAAACAAACGGGGAAAGAAAAATTACTACCAAAAAAAAAAATCTGTGAAATTGTCCTAGAAATTGTATTAAAAATAAGGAAGGAAAATGCAGGCATAAACTAGAATTCAGAAAGTGAAACGAATTGCCACCGACAGATCTGGAAAAAGAATTGAAAAATATAAATGGGGAACAAACAGGAAGACCAGTAACAGAAACGGAAAGATCAACAAATTATGTATTGTTTCGTAGTTGCAGGCACATTATTAACTGAAAAGGAAGAAGAAATTCACAGGAAAAGGAAAATGTTGAACGAGAGAGAAACTGACCTGAAAAAACTGCAACGACTTTTAGAGAGAGAGTCAGAGAGAGAGAGAGAGAGAGGAACAGAGAGTCCGAGTCTGAGCCTGGAATGAAGACGCGGAGCTTTGAAAAGTATGGTTATATATTATGACAAAAAAAATACAAAAAACAATTTGTAGTGTCTGACCCAAAATTAATTAAATTTTTTTTTTTTGAGTAAATGATATTTTGTTAATGTGCACACTTTAGAGTCAATAATAATATAAATATAAAAGTGCCTTAAAAGAATAAAAAAAAATGAATTTTGAAGAGAGGGGAAAAAAATGTGTGCTCTATATTTTATCTAGCAAGTTGTGCTTTGGTGGATGATTATGTGTCACCAGACAAGATCCAATTAGTTTAAAGTTAAGATGGAAGACAGGAATAGTTTTGGATAGATTTTATAAATCATTTTAGAGTTTTGTATACTAGGTCTTCAAAAAAAATCGGCAGTTCTCTGTTTTTAATCATTTTAATACAATTTAATAGATATATTAGTTTGATAGTACATATACCTTCTTTCTGTCATATTATAAATGGTGTTTGCTAGTTTGGCTAAGAAAATATATATTAATGATGATTAACAATTAGAGCACAAGCTTAATAGAGAGGGTAAAATTAGCAGCAAATAATAATAATGATAATAACATAATAATAATGATACCAATAACAACAATATTAATAATAATAACAATAATAATAGTAATAATAATAATAGTAGTAGTAGTAATAAAAGGAGACATGAACAAAGCCCAGAACTTTTTTTTTTTTTTTTTCTTCTACTGTTCTATCCGGATGCTCTACCGACAGGGTAAAAATTAGCCAGTTCTATACGTAACATAATAATAAAAGGTGAAAGTAAAGTTGGGGAAGTGGCTTCACTATGGGTGCAAGCATCTTCAATCAAAACCAAAAATCAACCATTCACTTTGGAACCAAAAATGTACTTGATATAGTGTAGATAAGTGATTCAGTTAATATATATATATATATATATATATAAATCATTGTCATTTCTTTTAAAAGCAATGCACTTCAAATATTCACTTTTAAAGTCTTGATTCTTGAAGGATCAAAAGAAAAACTCCATTTTTTTTTCTTGCAGTTGTTAATCCCATGGATGTGATGTCTTTGATTGTAGTGTAGATTCTCCATTTGATGGGAATGGACCAAATGGCTGTGTTTTGGACACTTTTGCCCCCTCTAATCCCTACTAAAAAAAAGAGAAGCTTGAAGGGGAAAAAAAAAAAAAAGACACTGCACATTGTTTAGAACCAATTATACAGAAGAACTTGAGAGAGGGAAACGAGTTCATCAAAAGTAAATTTAAATATGTTGATTTACAGGGTAAAAGTTAAGGGAAACTTAAAAAAAAAAATAAAAAATAAAAAAAAGGGAAAAGAAATGTCTTTTCTTCATGTTTCAGGTTCGAATCTTGACAGATCTTTTTTGTTGAAAAAATATAAAAGATCTTGTCTAGTCAATAGACTATACCGTGTAGTGTTAGATCTATGGTAGTTTACTAAAATTGATCAGGCCCTTTTTTGATCTATTATTGGAAGCTAGGATTTCTTTTATAGACGATGATGATCGGAAGCAAGACAGTATAAATAATCCTTTTTTATTATTATTATTAGGAAAAAAAAAAACGAAAAAGTAAACACATACGCATATATGGACTGAATACTGCAGTAGATATAAATATGATAATAAGTAGAATGCTATCAAAAGTATTTTCAAAATAAACATCAAGAATATACCATTTCTTTGGCTTTTTTTTTTTTTTTTTAAATCTGAAACATTTGCTTTGTTTTCGGTAGCAGTTGTCGGCTATATATCACACTGATGTTTTCAGAAACACACTTTAAAGTTGTTATAGTTGCTAACCTTAGATTCTATAACATCATTATGACAAATTACAGTGTCGTTTTTGAAGCCCTCCGAGAAAGAATTATCCAACAAAGCACACGATAGAACACAAAGAATCCAAACATGATTCCAACATTGATCCATCTAGGATCTTTTTCCAATCCTCTACTTTTCAACACATCATTTCCAGTGAGCAAGCACTTTGGTGGCTGATTTCCCTCAATCACATGCCAAGAGAAACACTCATTTCTCACCCTCCAATACTCATTTGTGAGCAAGGTGTCAAGTGGGTACCTATAGAGAGAAACATAGTACATGAAAAGCCAATACTTTGGTATGCTTTCCTTGGGGATGAAGTAACCGGAGAAGAGAAAGAATGCCCCGAGAACCGTGCAGATGAGAGAATTCCCCGATATGAAATCGGGCGAAACCGCGCTTAGGAAGAGGACTAGAGAACTAGCCATCAAGACAATGAGCCAAACAACAAAAGTAAAGAATGCAAAAGCATAAAAGGAGGGATTTAGTCCTACAATCCAATAAACAGGAACAGCAAAGAGAATAGCCACAGCAAACAAGAAGGGCAAGAAAACAATGGTGTTGGCAATCATGTAGGAAGAGATTCGATAGGCTCCTCTTGAGGCTTCCTTCATAAGAACTCTTCTCTCTTGGAGATATATTGGAAGTGCCTCAACTGTTGAGGAGAGAAGAAAGCTGAGACTAAATGCGAAAAGGCCCAATCTTTCAGATATTCCTCCTTCATCTTTTCTCAATTTTGTGTACACACTTCCCAACCCAAATCCCCCAACAAGGGCCTGCATTGTTCTAGCAAGAAACAGCTGTTTTGTCCTGTAAATGATCTTCCAAAATCTGGAGCAAAGATACATGATCTCGAAAAAGTTCGAGAAGCAAGAACCACCCATCTTTTGTTTCCCGTTTTGTTGTTGAACATCACCAAGGTTTTCTTGGTCTGCCCACAAGGGGTGTGAGAATGGCTCACCAAGTAATTCAACATCAGAATTGTATGCTTTGGAATGTGAATGATCTTCTAGTGTTCGGATTATTTCCATGGCGAACTCTAGCGCGTTTAGTTGTATCGGAATCTGCATTCCAAGTTTGGTTATGGTGTCCTCAAGAGATTCAAGGTTACCATTATGAACAACCGAGCCTCTAGAGAGGATTAAGAAGTTTGAGACATATTGAATGATTCTATAGCTTGGTTGGTGGATCGAAAGAATGATAGTTCTTTGCTTTGTTCTAGCCACCACTGATAGAAGCTCAATAACTTGAAGAGCTGAAGTGCTATCTAGGCCTGAAGTAGGCTCATCAAGGAGCAAAATCGGCGGATCCTGAATCATTTCCATGCCGATTGAAACCCTCTTTCGCTCTCCACCCGATATGCCTCTGTTCTCTTCGTCTCCAACAAAAGAGTCAGCCACATTCAGAAGGCCAAGCTCCATCATCAGCCTCTCAACTCTTGCTTCTCTCTCTTTGGTGCTCATTCCTCTAAGCCTAAACTTGGCACTGAACATAAATGTTTCTTTCACTGTCAGCAGAGGCAGAAGATTATCTTCTTGCGCGACAAATCCACAAATCTTCCTCAATTGGGCAGGATCACTTACAAAATGATCATTGATTGAGATGGTCTTGGGATCAAAGTGCTTATCTTGGATTACTCTTCCTGAGATCACGCCGAGGAGAGTGGATTTCCCGGTGCCGCTAGGGCCAACAACAGCGAGAATTTCGGAGCTCTTGGCGGTGAAAGAGACGGATTTGAGTATGCAAATGGGCTTAGGCTTGTGGAGGAAGGGAAAAAAGGAAAAGGGTATTGAGATGTTTGGATGATTAGTATAGGAGAGATTTGTGACAGTGAGTTTGTAAGTGGTTTTGGTGAGATGGGAAGGTGGAGAGTAGTAGAAAGAGGAAGGACTTGTGGTGGATTCTTCATGGGAATCTGAGGTTGAGAAGAATATGGCAGAATCATCTTCATTGCTTTGTTGCTGCTGCTGAAAACAAACCGCCATTTTTGCGGTTTTCGGAGTCTGGTCTTGTGGTTTTGGACACAATGTTTAGGAAAAGAAGGTGATTATGGAGAAGGGTTTGAAGCAGCTTGGAAAAATGCACATGTTTAGAATTGGAGGTTAGACCAGACCAAGAAGATTGTAAAAGGAGGTTTCTTTATTTTTTAGTGCTTGCTTGTTAACCAAGTTGGTGATTTTTTGATTTGGTTGGCAGTGTTTGGTTATCTGTTTTTAATTTTTCGATATTTCATCTGTGTATTCACCACTTATGAATGCTTGATATAAGAGGTTGATTACAAAATATATAGCAATATGCTACATCTTCAACAAAAAATCAGAGCAAAAAAAAAAAAAAAAATCCTGCTTTATTATCAACGCACCAAAACTAAAAATAAACGCATAACATAAAATCAACATTAAACACAAGTCAAGAGCACGACCACCACCGCGACACACGTGTCTGAGATCCCTAACACCAGCCACCATGAAACCTCAGCACCTAACTATGTCCACCTGCCCATTGAAACTCATCAACGGCCCCACCTTGGCCGTCCCCATGGCGAGACCAGAGGTACTGCTGGCCACCTGCAATTGGCAGCACGAACTGAATCACAGCCACGGTTGGATCCCTCAACACCGACAGAATGCGGACGGCGGCCAAAACCGCCCAAACTGCGGCAGATCCGAGCACCATCCGACCAATCTCTCCCACCACAATCTAACCCAGCCTGATCTAAGACCAGGTCGACAGCAAAGAAAATCCCTCTCCCAACTGCGCGCCCGTTCTCCGATTCCAACCAAGCTCCACTCCACTAGCGGCACGTACCTCGGTACAACGTAAATCGGTCGGCAACAACCCTTCAGATGAAGATCGGAGGCCAACAAACTAGTGATGCGCCAGCCCACCGACCCCGAAAACCTCTCTCTCTCTCTCATTCTCTTTCTTCTTCTCTCTCCCTCCAGAAAGAAACATATAGTATTTTTTATATGCGTATAAAATATATAGTTTTTTATAAAATGCTGATTAATTATAACATATTTTTATTTTTTATTTTAAAATAAATTATTCTTTTTCAAATTTATCCTTTCGTTAAGGTTTTATTTTTATCTTTTTTTTCCTTACACAATCCCTCACAGTCGCCTCTCCCTGACTCTTTCTTTCTGTTTCTATCTCTTCTATCCATCTATCTCGATTTCTCTCGTTGCAATCTCTACTCTGGATTAGGACTATGAGGAGCCAATTTCAACGGCGACTGCAAGTCAACAATGACGGCAAGTTCAGAATCTATCTCTCTCTCTCTCTCTCTCTCTTCACAGTGTCCATCGTAGGTCAAACCCCACCGTCGCGCCACCTATTGCGAAGCTCGAAGCTTGTCATTGCTATGGAGGTACATATTATCAATCTACTTTAGAGATATTCTTCGGCGAATGCTGGCAGTGCAAGGATTCAAGTATAGAGAGATAGAGAGGGAGATCATCTTCGTTGCAACCAGGTTGAAGATGATAAGGGGATATATATGAAAAAGTTTCAGAAAATATATACTAAAAATCAAATATGAAAATTTGAGGCCGCACCTCCCTCCGCTACTAGTACAAAATCAATTATGGCCAAGCATATACTTTTGAGAAAATTATATATTCTATCTATTTAAGTACTTAATTTATTAAAAATATCTTTCAAAAAAAAAACTCCACACTTTAATTAGTTCTAATTTAAAAATTAAAAATATATGAATTAATATTAAGAATAAAAATAAAAACAGTTCCATTTTAAATATTATTTTTAAAACTGCCCTATATATACTATTCTCAAAGAGCTATAGGCCCAAATATTGTCATCATGAAGAACGCTTAAGCCCAGCATACATTATTTCTAAGAGACCTCCTAAACGTTAAGCTACTTGGTGCTGACAAAGGGTTATCACTCGCAAGCATCACAATCGCATGTGATGATGGATGACCCCTGTTCTTGCTGACATGATCAGTGCTCTACTGCGTGCGCTCTGGGTAGTACTCAAGTGATGTTTGTAACTGTCTAGCTCATAAGTTGCCTCAACTGACCTTGTGTTCCCCACTGGATTATGTTTGGTCTCATGAGATCCCATCTCTATCTTAAGTTAGCAGAACTCGAGTTTAAAATTTGAGTTTGAACTTGAGTTTAAACTCGAGTTTGGGGCTAAATACGAGTTTAAGTTTCTCCTTCAACTTGAGTTCATAAACTTGAACTCATGTTAATGAACAATATTTTTTCTATTATGAAAGATGCCATAATTTTTTCGTTTTAATTCTGATTGAGATAATTTTTTTCTATGCATTCACAACGAAAAGACGAATAAAACTCCACCCATATACCCTATTAAAATTTTTCATCACCATTGAGTTTTTATTAAAATACTATCTAAATACAAATTTAAGTTTTGACCTATTCAAACACAAACTCAAAAAGATTCTCAATTCAAATCATAATTCAAATGTGCACATCTAAACACAAACTTAAGTTACAACTTTAACTCAAATTATAACTCAAATTTAACTGAAGATCATTACTCAAATCACTCTAACTCAAAAATATAAAAGAATAACCCTGAGTCTTTACAAATCTCCTAAGAGAGAGAGATAGAGATGGGATCTCAGGAGACCAAACATAATCCAGTGGGGAACACAAGGTCAGTTGAGGCAGCTTATGAGCTAGACAGTTACAAACATCACTTGAGTACTACCCAGAGCGCACGCAGTAGAGCACTGATCATGTCAGCAAGAACAGGGGTCATCCATCATCACATGCGATTGTGATGCTTGCGAGTGATAACCCTTTGTCAGCACCAAGTAGCTTAACGTTTAGGAGGTCTCTTAGAAATAATGTACGCTGGGCTTAAGCCTTCTTCATGATGACAATATTTGGGCCTATAGCTCTTTGAGAATAGTATATATAGGGCAGTTTTAAAAATAATATTTAAAATGGAGCTATTTTTATTTTTATTCTTAATATTAATTCATATATTTTTAATTTTTAAATTAGAACTAATTAAAGTGTGGAGTTTTTTTTTTAAAGATATTTTTAATAAATTAAGTACTTAAATATATAGAATATATAATTTTTTCAAAAGTATATGCTCGGCCATAATTGATTTTGTACCAGTAGCGGAGGGAGGTGTGGCGTCAAATATTCATATTTGATTTTTAGTATATATTTTCTAAAACTTTTTCATATATATCCCCTTATTATTAAAAAAAAGTGTAATAATTGGGTACTAAAATAATAAATATAAATTGTACAACTATTTAAAATAAAAAAATAAATTTTAAAAAAATTTAAATAAAATAAATAAAAAAAAAATAGTGTTAAAAAATAAAATATATTATTAATTTATTAAAAAATAAAGTACATATTTATTATATTAAAGTTAACAATACTTATGCTAATATTATAATATTAGACAAATAAAATAATAAATATATGTTGCATTTATTATTTTTAAAATTTTATTTTTAATTGTGTATTTATAAGTAAAATAAGGGTATAATAGTAAATTGATATTAATATTAGGAATGAGAGTCAATCCCAAGGGGGGGGGGGCATGGGAATGCCAATCCCATTCCTCAATCCTAAATTTGAGTGGGACCCACCAATCTCACTCTCATTTCAGGATAAAAAAGAGCAAGTAAACATGAGATTGACTCCCATTCCCTACTCTCATTCTTCAATCCTGGTAAGTAAACATGCCAACAGCAGCAAAAAAATTTTACAACACGTGTGCCGCCTAAAATTCTCTTAATTCGGCCCTGTAGTTCCTAATTAATTTTGGAAATGGTTTGAAACGTTTTGAAAATTTTTCCGATCTCTCTTTTAGAATATGATTTTTGAAAGGAATTATGAGATCTAGTTTTAGATAAATTGATGCAATAATGCCCCTTCTGTTACCAGTGATTCTGAACGAAGATGGGTATAAGCGTAATTTTACTTTCAAATCTCACTAAATAATGGACACGTGGCGAATTTCGTCACTCAGTGTAACGGAAGGGACAAAATTGTTAACGGAATAAAGTTCGGGAGATCGGATGTTACGTTTTAAAATTTGAGAGGTAAAGTGTTACAGGATCATAGTTCAAAGAGACTAATTGAAATTAATCCTTAATTTTTTTAATAATGTAATTTTAGAATTGACCCTTTCTGTTTTAGATTGTTTTTATATCAGAAGTTCGAAACCTTATTTGGAATTGATCACTTAAATAGTGCTTCTGATTCAATAAATAAAGAACCTTTCTTAATTTTCTTTTTATTCTACACCAACTAAAATGAACTTTTGTTTACGAGACCAGCATTTTTATCATTATTTATTTATTTACTTTTCGTCAATCACAGATGTAAAAGTTTTATACTTTTCATAATAAGATAAGACTGAATATGACACGCATTAATTTGTGCATAACCCGAAGTTTTAAATTTACATATACATTATACATGTATATGTCAATTTAGTGGCTAAGAAACTAATAAATCCCATATTTGTTTCAATTAGTTAGACCTCTCAGATCACCAAAACGCTACCAAACATATTACAACCATACTATTGACTTTTAGCAGCACTGAAAGAAGCTTCTTTTATAGCATTATACTTGGTTGGTTCAACCCCCAGTTCTACCCAGACTTGGGAATTTCCAGCTCAAATTAATATTCCCTCCTTGTAAGATGTTGCTCTTCCTCCTTTCCAAAAGAACAAAAAAATTAAAACAAAAGGAATACGAAAACCATATATGATTATAACCAACTCTTCCCACTAATTAAAATGTAATATACCAATTATATAAATTAAACTAATTATTCATCACTTGAGATTTTAGTTGCAAAGCAAATATCTATAATAAGACCAGCATTTGGTTCTAAATTATTCTTTTCAAGACCAAGCATTTTCTTCTACCACATTATCCAATCAATACATGCAAGTGTATTCGAATGAGGTTTTTTTTTTTTTTTTTGCTCTGATATTTTGTTGAAGATGTAG